AATTCAGTGAAGTAACATTCAAAGGGGGATCGGCTGAATTTCACCTTGTTTAGCACCAAATCCTCCTGGTTTAACCGGTGGTATTATAATCTACTTGTGATATCGTGATAAACGCTGGGACCTGTTATGTAGCCTTTACAATACTGCCACATGCACCGCTATGTCGCCACAAATCTGACCAAATTCACAAAATATTCGTCTAGATATTAGAGAAATTTCAAATCGGGTTTACAACAAATGGCAGGCGTGAGTTCCATGTTAAAAATTTCTCCAATTGAGAAACTATGAGCAGATAAAACTTCTTAAAAAATCTGATAGACGAACGTGAATGAATAGCAAACTACCAAAACTTGGCCACGTGCGCCACTTGACTGTTGTTGTAAACGTGGTTCTAAACCAGCTCTATTCACTCATGGGGGTAACTGAGGTTAGAGAAAGGTAAAAGTGATTTCAAGGAGCTGAGATTTCCGTGGATTTTCTCTATTACTCGGGTGAAGGAAAAGCCAATAAATCAGTCCACCTTTTCTCAAATTGTGGCGAACGAAAGCCATGATTCCTCGTTAGTCTTACATTGAGTTGAGAAATTTATAATATTAGAAATTGTAAACTTGTAATCATGTATATGCGATGCTTTTTTTGAGTGCAAACAAGTAAAGATAGGATGGTTAACAAATATAATAACTTTAAGAGCTAACAAACAACTACAGTTGAACCCCATTAAGCCGCCACTCTTGGGTTACCGGCAAGTGGCCGCCTAATAGAGGTTCGTCAAAAATTAGCAAAATCTTTAGTAGAAACATCTTTTTATTTTGAAACAAGCACCCAATGGGAGCACCAGCGAATTACTGGTTCACAATCGGTCGTCATCTTCTATCTCGCACTATATTTTTCATCATGATCGTATTATTGAAATAAACCCAAACTAGGTGTATAGAGCGCTTGATGGTCGCTTAAACAATGGGAGAATAGCCTGCCAGCAAGTTTTCCTGGGGTTCCCCGAGAGAGCCAGTTACAAGTTTTGCTTCATTCGAGCTTATGAAAAAATTGGCGGTTTTACCGACATGACAGTAGGCAGCTCTAAGCAAAGGCGTTTCTGAGCGATGCGTGTGACTGGGAGTGGAACTTTTGCATTCTTGGGCAGTGACCGGTCCAAATTTTCTATCCTACTACGCCGCAGACGAAATCCAACCCAAGATATTTTCTAACCAAAGATTAAGGCTATGTTCTCACAATATGCCGGATAGGTTTTCGTGCCGACACGACAAGCTACCTGGTAAAGTATGAACACCTATCCGATATGTGACTTCACTATAAAGATTCGCAACCTTGCGGCTGCGTTACAGAATTCTCGCCAAAATCACCGTTCTTGTTTTGTAAACAGAGGCCCTACCCGGTATGGTTTTCGTGTTGGCGCAAAAACGGTCAGACGGTATCCTCCCCCGAGAAAAAAGAAAGACACTCCCTAACACAACTATGGTTAAAGGTCGGCGAAGCATATTACAATGGAAAAAGCTTCAATTCTGGTTGCGTTTCCTCCGAATAGCCCCCTAGAGCGGTGACCTGTTTGACACATGCTATAATATATACACTCGTCAGTTACCAACACAGTTTTGTTGTCTACCAATATTTCCTAAATTAAAATTGGTACTGACAGTTTATCATAAGACAATTGTACTTTCGTTTTTTCTCCGTAAAATACAGTTGTCAAACGTCGAATGGTGTTCAGGGCTCTCACTTCATAAGCTTTCATATGGAGGTTAAACTTATTATATTCGTCTACATTTCAGGTAAGATTTACTTAATGCTTTCGACTCAGAAGATTTCTAAATCCAGGGTCAATAAATTTGTTTATTTAAAGAAGTGAAAAAAAAGAAAGAATAAACTTACCTATGTTACAACAATAACTAAAATTCAAATGGTTCAACTCTACAACACAGATATGACTTAATATTAACGTTTGGTTCTGAGAATCATCAATTTAGACCTAAAGAGAGCGGAATTTGTCGCCTAGCGTACGAAAATAACTCCTTGTCCTCTTTGGAGGAGCTTGTTTGGTGGTAAAGTCACTTAATCCGGGGGAAAGGGGCGGGGGTTGAACCAGACGGTACGCTAATGCTTAGGACAATCCATAAGGCACAGTAAGTTCCTTAAGAAACAATAAGGAGAGATGCGGAACGTGGTAGGGTAATATATCTTTAAACGCCTTACTTGATATGGTTATTATGATCGATTATGATTATGATTATGATTATGATTATGATTAGGATTGTGATTAGGATTATGATTATGTTTGTGAACGTGACCGTGATTATGATCTGAATTGCGATTGTGATTGTGGTTTTGATCGCGATCACGATCATGAACGTGTCGTGATTGTGATCATTACTAACAGTGTTTACTATGGCTACGGATTATTGCAATTATGATTGCCGTTATCATTGTTATTATAACTTTAATTTCGCGTATTAAGTTAAACTAGTTGCGTTCAAATCATTTTCTAGTTCACATCCTTTGTCGGAGCTCTGCTCAGAGATGCACCAACGAAGGAAGGCAAGTATTAAATTCATGCCTGGAAGTCTGCTACTGTATCAATGGGAGAATCCACAACTGCTGCAGAGTACGGAAACACTTCACATCTATGACAGAGGCTGAACGAACACGTTATGTGGAAACCGTACGACGGGTCTCAACGGAAAGTGCGTATCGCCAGGAGTATCGTCGTATAATAAATATGCATCAGAGGCTTTTCAGTACAGGAATTTATCAGAAAGACCAATTTCTACCATGGCATCGATGGTAATTGACTCACAATGCAACTTTTCCCTTAACATTTATTTTTTACCCAGATCATTAACCTGTATATTCCAAACACAGTTGCCATTCCGTCGAGTGTCAATACTGTCTACAGGCGGCAGGATAAACAGTCGTTTTTATTTTTTCTGAAATGTTTCAAGTCAGCACAACCTGCCACCGTGTGCAAGAAAAAAAAGGTTCCTTTTACACCACTGGGGGAAAAGAAAATCTTGAGGGAGAAGTCAAGTGCTCACTTGTTCGTCCTGAGCAATCGAAGCTAACATTTAGAGGGAAAAAAGTCATAGAAGATAATCTGACCTTGATTATGTGATGATTACCATCTTCTCATGCTTGTGATCTATCATTTAAGAGAATCTTCCATTATTCCTTGGTTGATCTCAGGAGCTCGCTTGTGTCTCAAGATGTACTGGCCTGAAGCCACATCTTAAAATCAAAATATTGTCATTTGCCCAGCTTTAGTCAGTCTATGGCTATGTTCTCACTAACCGTTTGCACCGCGACGAATACCATGAAAACCTGCTAGGACTTCTGCACACACAGGAACAGTGATTTCTGTAACGGAGCATGAATGTGTCGCGCCCTCGCCGATCTGGCTATAAAGTGAAGAGTCACATATCAGATAGGTGTTCATGGTAGTACTATAGCTAATAGGGCTTTTCGTGTTGAAAAGTAAGCGGGTGAAGTGTGAACACAGCCTATAATATGTATGGAATGCAAACATAGCGAACATAAAACAACTTTTGCCGCCATATCAGTACAAAAAAAAAAACGGTAATTCCCAGAAAGGGACAGACTGAGTATTTGTTGCATATATGACCAAGAACGATCACAAAAGTTAAGCGAAACACTGGAACTTGTTTTTTTCTCTATCTGGTTTATTTCTCTACTTTCCTATCACAACAGGTACCTTCTTCGGTACGAAAACTTGTTGCGTCAAGTAGATTGTCGAGTCACTCTTGCCTACTGGGACTGGAGTCTGTTTTCGATGTCACCCTGGAATAACACCAGTGACAGAATCTGGTACCCAGGCCCATCTGGTCTTGGAGGCAACGGCAGTGATGGAAGTAGTGGTGGCTGCGTCACCGATGGACCATTTTACTAGGAACGTTTGGCGTAAAACAAATGGACAATGCCTTAGAAGAAGATTTAGCGGTAAGAAACAGCTTAAACCTACATTTTCAATCCCTTTTTTTTTTTCTTTTCATCTCCAGCTCCAAATCCTGCCAACAGATCCTTTTTTTCCCTAGCTCGAATTTGGCGCACTCAAGAAAGACTCATGAATCGAGTGAGATCCTTTTTGAGCATGCCCAGCATGTTGCAAGAATATAGTTTCGAATCCAGGCCTAATGACCGTGTGCTAGCTACGGCGGGCTCAGTTCTGACCATTGGTTNAAAAAAAAACGACGATGACTTAGTGTAAGCTTTAGCGGTTAGAAACAGCTTATACCTACATTTTCCAGCCTTCTTTTTTTTTTCTTTTCATCTCCAGCTCCAAATCCTGCCAACAGATCCTTCCTTTCCCTTGCTCGAATTTGGCGCACTCAAGAAAGACTCATGAATCGAGTGAGATCCTTTTTGAGCATGCCCAGCATGTTGCCAGAATATAGTTTCGAATCCAGACCTAATGACCGTGCGCTAGCTACGGCGGGCTCAGTTCTTACCATTGGTTTATCAATAAAAGGATGCTCGCACTCGAAAAACCAGTTTGGCGAGAGAAAAAAGGTTGCCTAGTCTAGAAACTCGAGCTGTGGTGATCTCAAAGGCTTGACCAGATACAGGCAGAGTCTCTTTTTTTCTTCCTCGATCAAGACGAGAAAAGGAGAGTTTGCTGGCAGGGTGTCAGCACCATTTCTACGGTGTTTACTTTGCTCTCTACATGAAATGCGTCTGGCCTTCGGATGTTTATAAACACATTTTCCATTGTCCTTCAATCAGATTTTTTTCAATTTTCATCGATTGTGACAACGTGAATATCCACCTGTCTAGCTGTATTATTGATCTGCTTCTCGTATTTTTTGGGTTCTTTTCACTAACATTGTCCTCATTATTTATTTTTGCAACACAGGATTGCCTCCCGACATAATAGCCGTCTACATAACTCAGTATTTTCAACCTACGGACGACGGCTTCACCAGGTTTGAGCTTAACCTTCGAGTCAACCTCCATGACACCGTTCACTGCAGAGTGGGAGGAGACATGTGCCGGATGACATCAGCCAATGCACCAGAGTTTTTTCTCCACCATGCCTTCATCGACAAGATTTGGGCCAACTGGCAGGAGTATAGCCATCAACACATGATAGCACATTTCTCTAATCTAAGCTTCGTAATGACTGGAACAAGATGGTATCGACCTCGCGATTTCATAAACACCCACGATCTACCAGATATTCAAATACCCCAAAATGCTGCAGAGTACGGAAACACTTCACATCTATGACAGAGGCTGAACGAACACGTTATGTGGAAACCGTACGACGGGTCTCAACGGAAAGTGCGTATCGCCAGGAGTATCGTCGTATAATAAATATGCATCAGAGGCTTTTCAGTACAGGAATTTATCAGAAAGACCAATTTCTACCATGGCATCGATGGTAATTGACTCACAATGCAACTTTTCCCTTAACATTTATTTTTTACCCAGATCATTAACCTGTATATTCCAAACACAGTTGCCATTCCGTCGAGTGTCAATACTGTCTACAGGCGGCAGGATAAACAGTCGTTTTTATTTTTTCTGAAATGTTTCAAGTCAGCACAACCTGCCACCGTGTGCAAGAAAAAAAAGGTTCCTTTTACACCACTGGGGGAAAAGAAAATCTTGAGGGAGAAGTCAAGTGCTCACTTGTTCGTCCTGAGCAATCGAAGCTAACATTTAGAGGGAAAAAAGTCATAGAAGATAATCTGACCTTGATTATGTGATGATTACCATCTTCTCATGCTTGTGATCTATCATTTAAGAGAATCTTCCATTATTCCTTGGTTGATCTCAGGAGCTCGCTTGTGTCTCAAGATGTACTGGCCTGAAGCCACATCTTAAAATCAAAATATTGTCATTTGCCCAGCTTTAGTCAGTCTATGGCTATGTTCTCACTAACCGTTTGCACCGCGACGAATACCATGAAAACCTGCTAGGACTTCTGCACACACAGGAACAGTGATTTCTGTAACGGAGCATGAATGTGTCGCGCCCTCGCCGATCTGGCTATAAAGTGAAGAGTCACATATCAGATAGGTGTTCATGGTAGTACTATAGCTAATAGGGCTTTTCGTGTTGAAAAGTAAGCGGGTGAAGTGTGAACACAGCCTATAATATGTATGGAATGCAAACATAGCGAACATAAAACAACTTTTGCCGCCATATCAGTACAAAAAAAAAAACGGTAATTCCCAGAAAGGGACAGACTGAGTATTTGTTGCATATATGACCAAGAACGATCACAAAAGTTAAGCGAAACACTGGAACTTGTTTTTTTCTCTATCTGGTTTATTTCTCTACTTTCCTATCACAACAGGTACCTTCTTCGGTACGAAAACTTGTTGCGTCAAGTAGATTGTCGAGTCACTCTTGCCTACTGGGACTGGAGTCTGTTTTCGATGTCACCCTGGAATAACACCAGTGACAGAATCTGGTACCCAGGCCCATCTGGTCTTGGAGGCAACGGCAGTGATGGAAGTAGTGGTGGCTGCGTCACCGATGGACCATTTTACTAGGAACGTTTGGCGTAAAACAAATGGACAATGCCTTAGAAGAAGATTTAGCGGTAAGAAACAGCTTAAACCTACATTTTCAATCCCTTTTTTTTTTTCTTTTCATCTCCAGCTCCAAATCCTGCCAACAGATCCTTTTTTTCCCTAGCTCGAATTTGGCGCACTCAAGAAAGACTCATGAATCGAGTGAGATCCTTTTTGAGCATGCCCAGCATGTTGCAAGAATATAGTTTCGAATCCAGGCCTAATGACCGTGTGCTAGCTACGGCGGGCTCAGTTCTGACCATTGGTTTATCAATAAAAGGATGCTCGCACTCGAAAAACCAGTTTGGCGAGAGAAAAAAGGTTGCCTAGTCTAGAAACTCGAGCTGTGGTTATCTCAAAGGCTTGACCAGATACAGGTAGAGTATCTTTTCTTCCTCCTCGATCAAGACGACAAAAGGAGAGTTTGCTGGCAGGGTGTCAGTTTATTTTGCTCTCCACATGAAATGCGTATGGCTTTCGGATGTTTATAAACACATTTTCCATTGTCCTTCAATCAGATTTTTTTCAATTTTCATCGATTGTGACAACGTGAATATCCACCTGTCTAGCTGTATTATTGATCTGCTTCTCGTATTTTTTGGGTTCTTTTCACTAACATTGTCCTCATTATTTATTTTTGCAACACAGGATTGCCTCCCGACATAATAGCCGTCTACATAACTCAGTATTTTCAACCTACGGACGACGGCTTCACCAGGTTTGAGCTTAACCTTCGAGTCAACCTCCATGACACCGTTCACTGCAGAGTGGGAGGAGACATGTGCCGGATGACATCAGCCAATGCACCAGAGTTTTTTCTCCACCATGCCTTCATCGACAAGATTTGGGCCAACTGGCAGGAGTATAGCCATCAACACATGATAGCACATTTCTCTAATCTAAGCTTCGTAATGACTGGAACAAGATGGTATCGACCTCGCGATTTCATAAACACCCACGATCTACCAGATATTCAAATACCCCAAAATACAGATGGTAGGAGAATATGTGTTTCTTATGAGGATCCAACACGTTGGGAATACAACGAAATCATGAGACGCCTCAAAGGTAATCGCATATTACAAATTACATTATTCAATGTAAGTGAGTCAAGGAATTGAAGTTTCACTGCAGGCGCTTTGGCAGCGCCACAAATGTTGAACCTCTCATTTTTGCTAAAAATATTATTACTGCAGTTGTAAAAATAATTATTATTTTCACATTCATCATTATCATCATCATCATCATCACCATCATCATCATCATCATCATCATCATTATCATCATCATCAACAGCACCATAACAGTAAGTGTCTATTCACATGTTCTCTCGATTGAAAAATTATTGAAGAACAATTAAGATTGATTTTATATCTTGCGCGATCATAACCTTGATTCCTGTCACCTACCTGTTTTTTATATAGCATTGATATTACAACGACAAATTTGGTGCTGATCATTCTTCGAGGTTAAAGGGTTAACCTGGCTTCAGTGACGGGTCTTCTTGCAGGTTTTCAATTGTGTAGGAGGGCCCTCTTGTAGGAAACTAAAGAAGATAGACCTTCCTGTACAGTATTCAAAAAATTTCAACTCTACTAAGCAGGTAATTTTTCTTTTATTGCTTTAGATATGACGCTCCAAGAAATTCTTCAAATTCCACGACACTCGTTTGCTCCCGTCAATAATCGCCAGATGCGATTTTTTCGTGTTAATCGCCGGGAAAGGCGCCAAGCGAGACGAGATCTAAGACGACTGGAACCGAGAAATGAACTCCAGGGTACTGCAGGTCTTACCTCACCTATTGCATTAAACACTGGATTTAACCCCGAGTCCTTTCCAACGCCGAACAGGGACAAAGGTTCGAGGTTAACAAAGGAAAATTCAAGGCATGACATGTGGAAAGTAAAGAAGGACCACTCTTAAGGGTTATGGATCGTTCCGGGGGGTATTCCCGGGAATTTTTGGTAAGGGTGTGCCAACCGGTTCTCCAAACACTGACCCTGTTACAGACCAAACAATGTCTTTTTTTCCACACCCGTTTTCAGTCAGGGGGTCTTAAATCAATATCCGTTTTTAGACCTGGTTTGGGTCGAAACACACTAAGTCATCATTTTTGGACTAGAGCTCAAACAAAAAGATTTCTTAAAACTCATTTCGAATTGGTTTATTACTTCTTCTTTCTGATTCATTTGGAATTGAAACGACGAATACGTTTATACACTCCCGTAGTTTCTTAGAAAACCATACCCGATTCCAGACCAAATTAGGCAAAATCTATACCCGTTTTCAGAGTGTAATTACGCAAAACCATACCCTTTGGGACTGCACATACATATATGTCTTATAGGTCTTATAGAAGGGAGTCCCC